TGACCCCAAAAATGACCCTAAAACTGACCCCAAAACTGATCCCAAAACTGACCCCAAAATGACCCCAAAACTGACTCCAAAATGACCCCAAAACTGACCCCAAAACTGACCCCAAAAATCCCCTCCAGAGAGCTCCGCGGTAAAAAATGACCCCGAAATGACCCCAAAATGACCCCAAAACTGACCCCAAACCCCCAGAGCCCCCGGTAAAAACTGACCCCAAAATGACCCCAAAACTGATCCCAAAACTGACCCCAAAACTGACCCCATCCCCCAAAAAATGACCCCAAAATGACCCCAAACCCCCAAAATGACCCCAAACTGACTCCAACCCCCAAAAATGACCCCAAAAATGACCCCAACCCCCAGAGCCTCCTGTGGTAACGAATCTCCCGAAATGACCCCAGAATGACCCCAAAACTGACCCCAAAAAACACCCCCCAGAGCTCCCCGCGGTAAAAAATGAATCCAAAATGACCCCAGAATGACCCCAGAATGACCCCAAAACCGAACCCAGAATGACCCCAAGAATGACCCAAACCCCCCGAGCCCCCCGCAGTAACGACCCCACCCCTGAAAATGACCCCAAAACTGACCCCAAAACTGATCCCAAAACTGACCCCAAAATGACCCCAAGAATGACCCCAACCCCCCCGAGCCCCCGCAGTAACGACTCCCACCCCTGAAAATGACCCCAAAACTGACCCCAAAACTGACCCCAACCCCTGAGCCCCTCACGGTAAAAAATGACCCCAAACGACCCCAAAAATGACCCTAAAACTGACCCCAAAACTGACCCCAACTCCCCGAGCCCCCGCGGTAAAAATGACCCCAAAACGACCCCAAAAATGACCCCAAACCCCCCAAAAATGAACCCTAAAACTGACTCCAAAATGACCCTAAAACTGACCCCAAAACTGACCCCAACCCCCCCAGAGCCCCCTGCGGTAAAAAATGACCCGAAATGACCCCAAAACTGACCCCAAAATGACCCCAAAACTGATCCCAAAACTGACCCCAAAATGACCCCAAAACTGATCCCAAAACTGACCCCAAAATGACCCCAAAATGACCCCAAAACTGACCCCACCTCCCAAAATGACCCCAAAACTGACCCCACAATCAACCCTAAAACCACCCCTAAAACCACCCCTAAAACTGCCCCTAAAACCGACCCCCAATTTTTATCCCAAATTTCTGTTTTCCCCCCCAAATTTTTAACCCCAATTTTTAACCCCGATTTCTCCCCCCTAAATTTTTACCCCAATTTCAACCCCCCCCCCAAAATTTTTGACCCCAATTTTTAGCCCCAATTTTTAACCCCAATTTCCCTCCCCCCCAATTTTTGACCCCAATTTTTAACCCCAATTTCCCCTCCCCTCCAAATTTTTAACCCCAATTTCCCCTCCCAAATTTTTACCCCAATTTTTAACCCCGATTTCCCCCTAAATTTTACCCCAATTTCCCCCACCAAACTTTTTAACCCCAATTTTTAACCCAAATTTTAACCCCATCCCCCAGGTGTGGGGTGAAGGCCCTGCGGGTTCTGCCCCACCCTCCCGGGGTCCCCGAAGTGCGTCCTGAGGGTCACCCTGAGCCCCTGCGCCTGCACATCGACCAGGTGGGGAATTTGGGGGCTTTTGGGGGTCTGGGGGTCTGGGGATCCTGAGGGTCACCCTGAGCCCCTGCGCCTGCACATCGACCAGGTGGGGAATTTGGGGGAGTTTGGGGGTCCTGGGAGTCCCTGAGGGTCACCCTGAGGCCCCTGCGCCTGCACATCGACCAGGTGGGGAATTTGGGGGTCCTGGGGGCCTGGGGGTCCTGGGGAGAAGTTTGGGGGGACTTTGGGGGTCCTGGGGGTCTTGGGGAATCTGGGGGTCCTGGGGAATTTGGAGTCCTGAGGGGTCCTGGGGGAATTTGGGGGTCCTGGGGGAGTTTGGGGGTCCTGAGGGGAATTGGGGGGCCTGAGGGGGCCTGGGGGGAATTTGGGGGCCTGGGGGTCTGGGGGTCCTGGGGAATTTGGGGGTCTGGGGGTCTCCTCGGGGTCACCCTGAGCCCCTGCGCCTGCACATCGACCAGGTGGGGAATTTGGGGGTCTGGGGGAATTTGGGGTGTCTGGGAGTCTGAGGGTGTCTGGAGGGTCCTGGGGGGTCCTGGAGGGGTCCAGGGAGGTTCTTGGGGGATTTTGGGGGTGTCTGGGGGTCCTGGGTGGGGTCCAGGGGGTCTGGGAGGTCCTGGGGGTCTGGGGAGTCCTGGGGGCTTTGAGGGGTCCGGGGGGTCCCTAGGGGCTTTGGGGGTCAGGGTGTCCCTGGGGTGTTTGGGGGGTCCTGGGGGTCCTGGGGGTGTTTTGAAGGGTCCCTGGGGGTTTTGGGTGTCCCTGGGGTCCCTGGGGGTCCCTGGGAGTTTTGGGGTCAGGGGTCCCTGGGGGGTCAGGGTTTCCTGGGGGTTTTGGGAGGTCCCTGAGGGGATTTTGGGGGGTCCCTGGGGGTCCCTGGGGTCCCTGGGGGGTTTTGGGGGTCAGGGGGTCCCTGGGGGTCAGGGTGTCCCTGGGAGTATTTGGGGGTCTCTGGGGGGTTTGGGGGTCAGGGGGTCCCTGGGGGGTCAGGGGTCCCTGGGGGTCAGGGTGTCCCTGGGGTATTTTGGGGGTCCCTGGGGTGTCCGTGTGTGCCCCCCAAGCTGACGCCCTCCCCCCAGGACGCGCTGATACCTGGGGGTCCCTGGGGGTCCCTGGAGATTTTGGGGTCCCTGGGGGTCCCTGGGGGTTTGGGGGTCCTGGGGTATTTTGGGGGTTCCTGGGGGTCCCTGTGTCCCCCAGAACCGCAGCCCTGCCCCCAGGACGCGCTGATCCCTGGGGGTCCCTGGAGGGTTTTGAGGGGTCAGGGATCCCTGGGGTCTCTGGGGTTTTGGGTGTCCCTGTGTGTCCCCCCAAACTGACGCCCCTCCCCCAGGACGCTGCGATCCTGGGGTCCCTGGGGGTCCCTGGGGGATTTTGGGGGTCCCTGGGGTCCCTGGGGGTTTTGAGGGGTCAGGGGTCCATGGGGAGTTTTGGGGGTCCCTGGGGGTCCCTGGGGGTGCTCCGTGTGTCCCCCAAACTGACAGCCCTCCCCCAGGACGCGCTGATTTTCCTCAGGGACTTCGTGGGCGGCTTCATCGCTCACCTGGGACCCCAGGACCCCAGGACCCCCTGGGGATCCCCCCTCAGGGGACCCCCAGGCAGAGACCCCCCATTTACTTCAGGTGGGGCAGCTGGGGGACTGGGAGGGGATTGGGGAGGGTGAAGGGAACTGGGGGGACTGGGGGGGACTGGGAAGGGAGTGCGGGAGGAGTGAGGGGAACTGGGAGGGGAGTGGGAGGGGATTGGGAGGGACTGGGAGGGACTGGGAGGGACTGGGGGGCACTGGGATGTCCCCAGGGGTGTCCCCTGTCCTTGGGGGAGGTGACACTGCTGTCCCTGGGTTGGTGACACTGCTGTCCCTTGGGGGGGTTGGTGACACTGCTGTCCCTGGGTTGGTGACACTGCTGTCCCTGGGTTGGTGACACTGCTGTCCCTGGGTTGGTGACACTGCTGTCCCTGGGGTTGGGTGACACTGCTGTCCCTGGGTTGGTGACACTGCTGTCCCTGGGGTTGGTGACACTGCTGTCCCTGGGGTTGGTGACACTGCTGTCCCTGGGGTTGGTGACACTGCTGTCCCAGGGGGTTGGGTGACACTGTCCCTGGGGGCGAATGCTGTCCTGGGGCAGACACTGCTGTCCCCAGGGTTGGTGACACTGTCCCCAGGGGGTTGACACTGCTGTCCCTGGGGGTTGGTGACACTGCTGTCCCTGGGGATTGGTGACACTGTGCCCCAGGGGTTGGTGACACTGCTGTCCCCAAGGGGTTGGTGACACTGCTGTCCCTGGGGCTGGGTGACCTGCTGTCCCTGGGGGCTGGTGACACCGCTGTCCCCGGGGGTTGGTGACACTGCTGTCCCTGGGGGGTTGGTGACTGCTGTCCCTGTCCCTGGGGGTTGGTGACACTGCTGTCCCCATGGGGTTGGTGACACTCGCTGTCCCCAGAGGGTTGTGACACTGCTGTCCCTGGGGTGGTGACACTGCTGTCCCCTGTCCCTGTCCTGGGCTGGTGGTGACACTGCTGTCCCTGTGGGGTTGGTGACACTGCTGTCCCCAGGGGTTGGTGACCCTGCTGTCCCTCAGGGGGGTTGGTGACACTGTGTCCCCGGGGGTGGTGACACTGTCCCTGGGGGTTGGTGACACTGCTGTCCCTTGGGGGGGTTGGTGACACTGCTGTCCCCAGGGGGTTGGTGACACTGCTGTCCCTGGGGTGGTGACACTGCTGTCCCTGTCCCTGGGGGTTGGTGACACTGCTGTCCCCATGGGGGGGTTGGTGACACTGCTGTCCCTGGGGGGGTTGGTGACACTGCTGTCCCTGGGTTGGTGACACTGCTGTCCCTGGGGGGGTTGGTGACACTGCTGTCCCTGAGGGGTTTGGTGACACTGCTGTCCCTGGGTTGGTGACACTGCTGTCCCCTGTCCCTGTCCCCGGGGGGGTTGGTGACACTGCTGTCCCCTGTCTCTGTCCCTGTCCCTGTCCCAGGGGGGGTTGGTGACACTGCTGTCCCTGTCCCTGTCCCTGAGGGGGTTGGTGACACTGCTGTCCCTGGGGTGGTGACACTGCTGTCCCCTGTCCCTGTCCCTGGGGGTTGGTGACACTGCTGTCCCTGGGCTGTCTCTGTCCCTGTCCCTGTCCCTGGGGGGGTTGGTGACACTGCTGTCCCCTGTCCCTGTCCCTGGGTTGGTGACACTGCTGTCCCCTGTCCCTGTCCTGGGGGTTGGTGACACTGCTGTGTCCCCAGGGGGTTGGTGACAGTTCTGTGTCCCCAGGGGGGGTTGGTGACACTGCTGTCCCTGGGGGGGTTGGTGACACTGCTGTCCCCTGTCTCTGTCCCTGTCCCTGTCCCAGGGGGGGTTGGTGACACTGCTGTCCCCTGTCCCAGGGGGGTTGGTGACACTGCTGTCCCCGTGTGCCCCCCGTGTGTCCGCAGGGAGTTCCGGTTCACGTCGGACGTGCCGGTTTGGTTGGACTATCGGGGCAAACGCGTCACCATGGAGCAGGTGACACACTGGGGACAGGGGGGGACAGCAGGGACAGGCCCTGGCCTTGTGACCTGTCACCCTGTCACCCTGTCACCCTGTGACCTGTCACCCTGTGACCTGTCACCCTGTCACCCTGTCACCCTGTCACCCTGTCACCCTGTCATTGTCCCTGTCCCCAGGGTGACACTGTGACCCTGTCCTTAACCCTGTCATTGTCCCCAGGGTGACATTATTGGTGTCCCCATGGTGACCCTGTCACCCTGTCCCTGTCATTGTCCTCAGGGTGACCCTGTGACCCTGTCCCTGTGTCCGTGTCCCCATGGTGACCCTGTGACCCTGTCATTGTCCCCAGGGAGCCATGGCCGGGATCCTGATGGGGCTGGCCCTGTCCCTGTCCCTGTCCCTGTGTCCCTGTCCCCAGGGTGACCCTGTGACCCTGTCATTGTCCCTGTCCCCATGGTGACCCTGTCCCTGTCATTGTCCCTGTTCCTGTGTCCCTGACCCTGTCATTGTCCCCAGGGTGCCGTGGCCGGGATCCTGATCGGGCTGGCCCTGGCCCTGTCCCTGTCCCTGTCCCCAGGGTGACCCTGTGACCCTGTCCCTGTCCCCAGGGTGACCCTGTGACCCTGTCATTGTCCCCAGGGAGCCGTGGCCGGGATCCTGATGGGGCTGGCCCTGTCCCTGTCCCCAGGGTGACATTATTGGTGTCCCCAGGGTGACCCTGTCCCTGTCCCCAGGGTGCCGTGGCCGGGATCCTGATCGGGCTGGCCCTGTCCCTGTCCCTGTGACCCTGTCCCTGTCCCCAGGGTGACCCTGTGACCCTGTCCCTGTCATTGTCCCCATGGTGTCCCTGTCATTGTCCCCAGGGAGCCGTGGCCGGGATCCTGATCGGGCTGGCCCTGGCCCTGTCCCTGTCCCTGTCCCCAGGGTGACCCTGTCCCTGTCCCCAGGGTGACCCTGTGACCCTGTCCCTGTGTCCCTGTCCCCATGGTGACCCTGTGACATTGTCCCCAGGGAGCCGTGGCCGGGATCCTGATCGGGCTGGCCCTGTCCCTGTCCCTGTCCCCAGGGTGACCCTGTGACCCTGTCATTGTCCCTGTCCCTGTCCCCATGGTGACCCTGTGACCCTGTCATTGTCCCCAGGGTGCCGTGGACGGGATCCTGATCGGGCTGGCCCTGTCCCTGTCCCCAGGGTGACCCTGTGACATTGTCCCTGTGTCCCTGTCCCCATGGTGACCCTGTCATTGTCCCCAGGGAGCTGTGGCCGGGATCCTGATCGGGCTGGCTCGACTCAACTGCTCCCAACTGCGGCTCAAGAGGCTCTGCCACCGCCAGGGGTGGGACACTGGGACACTGGGGACACTGGGGGGACATTGGGGGGATTGGGGACAGGGGAGGACATTGGGGACAGGAGGGGACATTGGGGACATTGGGGACATTGGGGACACCATTGGGGGGACATTGGGGGGACAGTGGGGACATTGGGGACATTGGGGACATGAGAGGGGACACTGGGGGACATTGGGGACATTGGGGGGACAGTGGGGACATGGGGGGGACATTGGGGACATTGGGGACATTGGGGACATTGGGGACACTGGGGGGACATTGGGGACATGAGGGGGACACTGGGGGGACATTGGGACATTGGGGACATTGGGGACATTGAGGACAGTGGGGACATTGGGGGATTGGAGACATCTGGGGACATTGGGGACATTGGGGACATTGTGGGACATTGGGGACATTGGGGGACATTGGGGAGACATTGGGGACATGAGGGGGACAGCTGGGGGACATTGGGGACATTGGGGGACAGTTGGGGACATTGGGGGACATTGGGGACATTGGGGACATTGGGGGACACTGGGGATGTTGGGGACATTGGGGACATTGGGGGACATTGGGACATTGGGGACATGGGGGATATTGGGGACATTGGGGACATTGGGGATGTTGGGGACATTGGGGACATTGGGGACACTGGGGGACACTGGGGATATTGGGGATGGGAGGGGACACAGAGGGACATGGGGAGCATTGGGGACACTGGGGGACACAAAGGGGGCAGGGGACAAGGGGGACAGTTGGGTGTCCTCCCACTCACCATTGCTCTGTGTCCCCCTGTTCCCACTGTCCCCCTGTCCCCAATGTCCCCTCCCTGTCCCCTCCTGTCCCCTTGTCCCCCTGTCCCCTCCTGTCCCCAATGTCCCCCTGTCCCTCCTGTCCCCCCTGTCCCCCCTGTCCCCTCCTGTCCCCAATGTCCCCAAATGTGTCCCCAATGTCCCCCTGTCCCCCCTGTCCCCAATGTCCCCAAATGTGTCCCCTCCTGTCCCCAATGTCCCCAATGTCCCCAAATGTGTCCCCAATGTCCCCTCCTGTCCCCAATGTCCCCTCCTGTCCCCCCTGTCCCCAATGTCCCCCAATGTCCCCTCCTGTTCCCAATGTCCCCCTGTCCCCTCCTGTCCCAATGTCCCCAAATGTGTCCCCAATGTCCCCTCCTGTTCCCAATGTCCCCCCCTGTCCCCCCTGTCCCCAAATGTGTCCCCCCTGTCCCCCCTGTCCCCAATGTCCCCGCTGTCCCCCCCTGTCCCCAAATGTGTCCCCAATGTCCCCAATGTCCCTCTGTCCCCCCAGGCTGCTGGGGCTGGGCCGGGTGGTGTCGTTTGCGGTGACCGAGTGGCTTCGGGACATTCGGTGTCACCAACTGCCCGGGCTGCTGGGGGGGGTGGCCCCGGTGCACGCCGTGCTGCGGCTCTGTGAGTGTCACCAATGTCCCCAAATGTCCCCAAATGTCCCCAAACCCCTCTGTGAGTGTCCCCAAATGTCCCCACATGTCACCAACCCCCCCTGTGCACCCCGTGCTGCGGCTCTGTGAGTGTCCCCAAATGTCCCCAAATGTCCCCAAGTGTCCCCAAATGTCACCAAACCCCTCTGTGAGTGTCCCCAAATGTCCCCCCCATGTCCCTCCTGTCCCCAGGGAACTGTTGGGGTCCCCCTTGACCTGCCCTTCCCCCCACACCATTGTCCCCTCTTTTTCCCCTCATTGTCCCCTCACTGTCCCCTCCCTGTCCCCTCACTGTCCCCTCATTGTCCCCTCCCTGTCCCCCCATTATCCCCTCATTATCTCCCCCTTTATCCCCTCATTGTCCCCTCCCTGTCCCCTCCCTGTTCTCTCATTGTCCCCTCCCTGTCCCCCCATTGTCCCCTCATTATCCCCCCATTGTCTCCCCATTATCCCCTCATTATCTCCCCATTGTCCCCTCATTGTCCCCTCATTATCTCCCCATTGTCCCCTCATTGTCCCCTCACTGTCCCCCCATTGTCCCCCTCATTGTCCCCTCCTTGTCCCCTCACTGTCCCCTTCCTCTCCTCCATTGTCCCCCATTGTCCCCCCATTGTCCCCTCACTGTCCCCCACTGTCCCCTCATTGTCCCCTCATTGTCCCCTCATTGTCCCCTCATTGTCCCCCCATTGTCCCCCCATTGTCCCCTCACTGTCCCCTCCCATTGTCCCCTCTCATTGTCCCCTCACTGTCCCCCATTGTCCCCTCACTGTCCCCTCACTGTCCCCTCCTTGTCCCCCACTGTCCCCTCCTCATTGTCCCCCATTATCCCCATTGTCCCCTCATTGTCCCCTCCCTGTCATCTCATTGTCCCCCATTGTCCCCCATTGTCCTCCTCCTGTCCCCCTCCTCTCCCCCCTTTATCCCCCCCCTGTCCCCACTGTCCCTGTGTCCCCAGGGCGGTCTCTCCGGGATCTGCTGCTGCTGCCGCTGCTGGGGTCCCTAGGGTGACCTGGGGTGACCCGGGGGGTGACCCGGGGGGTGACGGCGCTGGGAGCGGCCTCGGCCAACGCCGCCCTCGGGCTGGGGGCGAAGCTGCTGCGGGCGCTGCAGGTGAGAGACAAAAACACCCCCAAAATGGCCAAAAATACCCTGAAAACACCCCAAAAACACCCCAAAACACCCCGAAAACACCCAAAAACACCCCAAAAACACCCTGAAACACCCCCAAACACCCTGAAAACCACCAAAAAACACCCTGAAAACACCAAGAACACCCTGAAACACCCCAAAAACACCCCGAAAACACCAAAAACACCCCAAAACCATCCCAAAAACACCCCCAAAACACCCCGAGAAACACCAAAACCACTCTGAAATACCCTAAAAACACCCTAAAATACCCCCAAAACACCCCTAAAACACCCAAAAAACACCCCCAAAACACCCCCAAAACACCCCCAAAACACCCCGACAAACAACAAAAGCAACCCCAAAAACACCCCCAAACACCCCAAAACAAACACCCAAAACACCCCTAAAACACCAAAAACACCCCGAAACACCCCCAAAACACCCAAAAACACCCCAAAAACACCCCCAAATACCCCAAAACCACCCTGAAATACCCTAAAACCCACCAAAATCCCCCAACCCCCACCCCCAGACTCCCAAAATCCCCCAAATCCCCCCCAAATTCCCCTAAATCCCCCCAATCCCCTCCAAGACTCCCAAAATCCCCCCAAGACCCCCAAAGTCCAGCCCAAAATCCCCCAATACTCCCCCAGACCCCAAAATCCCCCAAACTCCCCCAACCTCCCCTGGACCCCAAAAATTCCCCCCAGACCCCCAAAATCCCCCCAGACCCCCCAAATCCCCCAAATGCCCCCAAAATCCCCCCAACTCCCCCCAAATCCCCCCTTTGGGACCCCCAAAATCCCCTCAAATCCCCCCAGAGCCCCCAAGACCCCTAAAATCCCCCCAAATCCCCCCTTGGGACCCCCAAAATCCCCCCCAAAACCCCTCTACCCTCCAAATCCCCAATTCCCCAAGACCCTCAAATCCTCCTCCCCAGATCCCCCTCAGAACCCCCCCAGACCCCAAAACCCCCCCAGACCCCCAAAACCTCCCTTGGGACCCCCAAAATCCCCCCAAATCCCCCAAAATCCCCCAGGTCCCCCAAAATCCCCTTGGGACTCCCAAAATCCTCCCAAACTTCCCCTCCAAATCCTCTCAAAATCCCTCCGATCTCCCTGGGGTCCCCTGTTTTTTTGGGGGGTCCCAGGTCGTGACCTTGCCCTTTAGCTTCAGGGGGTCCCTGTTTTTTGGGGGGTCCCCAGGTCGTGACCTTGCCTTTGCCCCCAGGCCCTGGGCCGAGGTCCTTTGGGCTCGTGACTCCTCGGGACCCTGGCCTCCTCCCAGAGCCCCCGGGCAGCGACGCGCGCTCCCAGTACGGACCAGTAGGGACCAGTATGGGGGATCCCAGTAGGACCAGTAGGGACCAGTATGGGGAGGGGACTCAGTATGGACCAGTTTGGGGAGAACAGATGGACCAGTATGGACCAGTATGGGGAGGGGGGACCAGGATGGACCAGTATGGGGAATCCCAGTACCGGACCAGTATGGACCAGTATGGGCTGGGGACCAGGATGGACCAGTATGGGCTGGGGGGACCAGGATGGACCAGTATGGGGGGATCCCAGTATAGACCAGTATGGGCTGGGGAAGCCAGGATGGGCCAGTGTGGGGATCCCAGCATGGACCAGCATGGACCAGTATGGGGGAGGGGGATCCCGGATGGACCAGTATGGCTAGGGGAATCCCAGTATAGACCAGTATGGGGGGGATCCCAGTATAGACCAGTATGGACCAGTATGGGGGGATCCTGTAGGGACCAGTATGGGGAATGCCAGTATAGACCAGTATGGGGCTGGGGGACCAGGATGGACCAGTATGGGGGAATCCCCAGTATAGACCAGTATGGGGAACCAGCATAGACCGGTATGGGCTGGGGGATCCCAGTATGGACCAGTATGGGCTGGGGAGGGGACCAGGATGGACCAGTATGGGCTGGGGATCCCCAGTATGGACCAGGATGGGGGACCAGTATAGACCAGTATGGGCTGGGGATCCTGTATAG